GGACCAGTTGAACTGAACCTCAAAATGTTCAGTCCATCGATCAAGATAACGACTCGGCATGTCATCGGATCCCTTAATCACCTCACGCCCATTTTCCTGGGGCTCGTATTCCTAATTAGACGGAGAAGAGTGCGGATATTACCATTAGCGGCAGATTCCTCTGTCTCTCTACACTTCTCGTGGTCATTCCTCAGACTCTTGATGAGCACGTTGACATACGTGGAACCAGGCAGAAGGATTCTTCGGGCGTCCAGGTAGTGGTGGCGCAGTGGGTTAGATTCGGTCACAGGCGTGTCTTGGTTCCTATGGTCCGAGGTTTGAGCCCCCCCGCCACTGCCACCCCACTTTTATGGTAGGCAGCCCTGCTGTCGTCCGGTTCAATACCACGCATAACATATTGGGGCCTTATGTGGTTCACCACTCCAAGTCCCGGGGCTTAGGTTTCCGGTTTCCACCAATGATCAGCAGGTCCTCGTGACTATGGGGTTCGCCCCGTATGCTGTTCATCACACGAAAGTGTGTAATAAAAAAGAGCAACAGAGGTCGATGAGATCCCTTGGTTGTGCTTTAAGCCTGCGCCAGTCTACTGTTGTTTTCAGCGATAATTGCATAGCTTCTTTGGTTTGCTTTCAGTGTTCACTGAGTCCTTCAGTTGGTGGCTGAAGTGGTAGGCGATTGGAGAGCTCCATTTCGCTTACCGCACCGTGCCTTGTTTGCAGTGGCCGCTGCAGACTACAGAAAGCCACATGGAGGCCAGCAGATAACGTGGAGACGAGGCATGAAGAAATGCACAGAGCGATTAGGTAGATTGGGTGTCTCTCGTCTTCTGGGTTGGGGTTTAAAAGACTCTGTAACTGGCCAGTTGGATACTCTGAAGGTCGTGGCAGCAAACCGACAGCAGTGGCAATCTTGCTGTCACTTCTTGTCAGTCCAGAATGCTTGAAATAATGTGTATGCGCCGTAGGACTGTGTACTCTGTGTGTTGACCATAAAGGTTCGCTTTTCCATAAAATTGGGCCCAATCTCTATCCTCCTCACACATTATCCCCTACCTATTATGCATTATGAGTTTGGCATCGATTAATGAAGTTAGCCTCACTGTTTTACGCTGTACGATGATGACGGCCGATGTGCAACTAACATTGACATTGTATTGTGGGTATTCGTTGCCGGTGGCTTTATTGCGTTTGTTTTCCAGACGTAAGGAGAATATGGCTTGTAACAAAGTGTGGTCCGTATCCACAGGTGATGGCAAGTGAGAGCGGTTGTCTTGAATTGACCCTCCCCCAGCGGTAACTGATAGCGATGTGGTCGATTTCAGTCCAGCGCTGTGAAGAGGTTGGTGGTTTCCATGCAAGGCGGTGTCATTTCTTGTGCGAGAAGTTCGCGCTTGACAGGAACAATCCGTGGTTCGCGCAAAGTGGAGGTAGGCGAACAAAGTAGTCCGTCAGGTCGGCTGGGATTGCATGTGGACCGCAAAGAGGCCTCTGATTCGCCCAACGATTCCATTTGAGCACTGAAGTCTCCGGCAACTAATACGACATCCATCTATCGAACACTTTGGATTAATTGAGAAAGATTCTTGTACAATTTGTCCTTGATTTCAGGTGTACCGCAATTGCTCGGTGCACACACCGATACGACGAAGAGGCACCAAAGCTTTGTTCTGTAGTTGTTCACCCGTACTGAACCGTTGAGACGTACAGCGCAGTCAGTTANCGACCGGAATAAAGTCAAGATGCGAGCGCTCAGCCTTGGCACTTAGCGCAATCGAAACACGAGCAACACCGCGAGCTTCGGAGGCCGAATCGCCTGAGAGTGAAGCGTGAGGATGAGGTTGGATCAGAAGAACGCAGGAAGATGACTGAAGCAGCTGGCCTTATGAGACTGATCTTTAGCTGACCGCTACCCATTGACTTCTCAAGCATGGTTGAAGCTGCGGCTGCGAAAAGCCATCCTATGTAGCTCGCAGGATAATGGAGGCTTGCAAGAGATCACACTACGTCACGATGCAATCTCGTGATTTTCGCGCAAAATCCTCAAGTCATCCAGTCAATCACAGATGATTATAAGGCAATTTTCACGTACTAGCTGTTTTCCGGGGTCAGTATAATTGCTAGTTTTCGTTCCGGTATGATAAATCCGATGGCTATTGGGACCTGCATGTGTCATCCTCAAAAAATAACCGAACAGTTTAGTGGAAAAAGAACACTTCAAAGTATGTCATTCAAGTATATTAGTTTCTCGTTAAAAAGTTCATTCCACACCTTTTCCAACTTCAGCTTAAACTTTGGAACTGCGTTGGCTTTTACTACTGTTAGTTTAATGCAATGGTTCACGAGTAACTACAAAAAAGCGGTCTGGGATGGAGGTCCGTGGCCGTTTCTTCCCTAAGCTCAAAGAACGACCTGAGGGCTCCGCTTTCCAATAATATACTCATGTGTTGATCATACAGCGCGATCGAGCTCTAGAAATCGCAATTGTTATCAGTTTGAAAATGACGCGTTAAACAACGTATGAATTGAGGGAAAACGGCACACGAAGGCATTTGGTCAACAAAGGGGCAAAGTCATAGCAAACTTGTTCTTACTCTGAGAGTATAGGAACGGAGCTCGTACAAGTTTGATCCATTACGACAGGGTACTGGTTCGGGCCAGTAACTGAATGGTAGACACACTTGATTCTTTCTGGAGCACAGCATGGAGTTTCTTTTCTGTTTGTACTCGATTATATCCTAGAGGAAGTAGTTTCATGCCATTAACAACCAACTTTGTTGCTCCGACAAACTTCCGTGTGCTCCCCTAAACACGGATAACCCCCCGGATATTTCCATAGATGGTCTGAAGTAAAATTCCCACCTCAAACAATCATCTTACAGGCAGTGTCTTGGTGGCCAATTTCACATGTCCAGCTACCAACGATTTCAGCTTTGCTATCTGTATTGGGAAGTAACCCTAAAAAGTGTTCACTGATGTGGATTTCTCCAGAACTAGTAGCAACTTACAATTCTTGTAAATAGTCACAAACAAACTGCGGCTTGAGTTCGTGTACTTGAAGCTCATAAATACACGGTGATGTTGACAATATATGTGATTGTTGCTCCACTTCTTTGCGATGCATTAGGCTCCGAATCCAACTTTCTCCACCATCCGTTTTGGCAGATAGGAGTCTGAATGCACAAGCCTCATTGCCAAAAAAAATGCGGGACCAATTTAGGAATGAGCGTTGAATCAGCATTCTCTAGTGGCAGACGTTTATTAAAACTAATTAGATGATATTTATGGGTGAATACAGCGTTCTAAACAAGCCCGGCGTCTGTGGACGGATAATGGCAGCCGAAACTGCTGCTCGTGGATGCCAAAACCGTATCAGCACAATAATTCTGAAGGCCAGTTCAGTTCAGTTCAGTTGCACAGGACGAATATGGCTCTTGCCAATCGAACGTCCAGT